CGGCCGCCACTGGCTCTGAGAAGAACCATTTAGTGGCAATTAGTGGCTGCTAGTGGCTCCGAGAATTAAAATACCATTTCGCGGCACTTAGTAGCCCGAGATCTACCATTCAGTGGCACTTAGTGGCCGTTAGGGGCTCCGAACATTACCCTTTCGTGGCACTGAGTGGCCGTTAGTGGTTCCGAGAATTACCATTTCGTGGCCCTCAGTGGCCGTGCAGCCCCATCTGGGCCACGGGCATGTAAATCAAGGCTCGGGGTCGCCGAACTCCGTAAAAAAAAAGCCACGGGCGCGTGAACGAGGCCGCCGGCCACATCGGAACCGCAAGCGCTCGAGCCGCGAAGTGCGGCTATCTTCAACAACAGAAAAATTCGAAGACATTCTACAGTTCTCGAATGGGGTGTGGTTCTGCTGCGAGCGCGGGCTGCTCAGAAGCTCTCCTGCCCCCCCAAACAGCTTAGCTGCGCGCCCCCGATCCCATTCGACAATCGGAAACTCGGCAAACGGGACCACCAACCAACAATCCACATTGCTGGGTTGCCCGCCCCCTCGAGCGACGCCGCGTGACGAGGACAGTTGGACGTTCAATTGACGGACCGAACATTGCAAAGCAGACCAACGGAGGAAGTGAGGATCAGGGAGGCGGACAAGAGGAAGGACGAGGAGGACCTGGAGAAGAACAGTACACTGCATAAATAGAAATCTAGGAAAACAATGCTGACCAACATGGGATGGACATCCAGTACCAAACGTGGACGATCAGGTGACCCCGAGACGGCAGAGAGCTGGAAGCTTGCTCTGAACATCAGGGCAGGGTAAGCAACGAATAGGAGCCAGCGTACAAGACAGATGCATGTGCCAAACCAGATTGGACAAGCTCCTGATGTGAAGGAGGGTACAGGCTACACGGCTAGCATGACGTCGCCCCTTCTCTTTCGACTCCGACAACCTCAACGGGAAAGAGGGCTTGGGAGGAGAACGGATAATTGCACGCATACGACTCAGTGGGGATGCCCTGGCACTGGGGCATACGCAACAGGGAACCCCAAACAAACCACCCCAGCTGGGTACGAGGAAGACTAGCGCACTAGAGTACGGAACATGCGACATTACGAATAAATACAGCTGCATCCCGAGTGATCAATCTATTGTGGTGTTCGTTGAGCTAGCTGAGGGGATTTGAGGGGGGGGCGAAGCCTCTGCTGGCAGCCGATGTTCTCCCGCATGCTGTTGAGGAAATGCAGCTGGTTGTCCAGCAGGCTCTTCTGCTTGCCGATCACGTCCTGCGGAAGATCACGAGGCAGCGAGGGTGCAACGTATTCATATTCAGGCAGCGTGCCTGCGTTGGGCCCGCACGCAGGCGCATAGCTTTGCCCTCCAGGTGACACACCTCCCCATTATCCTCCTCCTTCTCCTCCTGCTCCAATCCCTTCTCTCACTCCTCCCTCTCCTACCTCTCCTCTTCCTCCTCCTCCTCCTCCTCCTCCTCCTCCTCCTCCTTCACCTCCTCCGGCCCTCCCGAGCCATTGCATGAGGATCAGGGTCAAGGAGGAGCGGCTCACCGAGGCGTTCGCGAGGCGCCTCGAGTTCCAGAAGGCCCTGCAGGAGGAGGCGGAGCTGGTCACCGAAGGTGATGTCGCCCACCACACGGCATTGGATATTGGGCGGACTGCAATGCCACGACATCGGCCGCCGTCTCTGTTGGAGGGCGAGATGATAATGCCGGAGGCGATGTTGTCGAGGCTGATCTTCCCGCAGGGCGTCTTTAAAGGGAAATTAGGACACACAAATAAATACACACAAATAAAAATAGTCCCCATATTTTCCTATATTTTCTGGGTTTTTGTCTTCCCCCCCCAATTCCCATATTTTCCCATATTTTCCTGGGAATCGAGGATTAATTGTGTCTGTGTGTTTTTTTCCCTCCTGAGTCTTCCAGGGGTCGAAGTCGATGGACGGGGCCAGGAGGCCGATGGTGGTGTCCAAGCCGTTGGCGACGCAGGAGAGGATGCCGCAGGAGTCCTCGTCTGTCGCGCTGGTGGCCGAGGCGAAGGGCGAGCAGCTCCTCCTCCTCCTCCTCCTCCTCCTCCTCCTCCTCCTCCTCCTCCTCCTCCTCCTCCTCCTCCTCCTCCTCCTCCTCCTCCTCCTCCTCCTCCTCCTCCCTCCTCCCTCGCAGGGCTTCCCGAAGGAGGTGCAGTCGAAGAAGGACAACCACGCGGAGGAGGCCCTGTCGGCGCCACCGGGGCTGGTGGGTGTGCGCGCGCGTCCCCGCAAGAGAGGCCCCCAGGCCGACGAGCGGCCCGCGCGGAGCGAGCCGCAGAAGGTGGCGAAGCGGGAGGTGCAGATGGCGCAGACGAAGGTCATCCTGAAGTTTGGATGCTCAGTCTGGGGACCTTCCTGGAGCCACTCGCTCCACTCGTGCGTCGAAGCTGCGTCGAACGTCAGTCGAGTTGGGTCGACCCTGAGTCGAACCTGAGTCGAACCTGAGTCGAACTCGAGTCGAACTGGGGTCGAACATATCCGTTAGGTGGGCTCCAGGAAGGTCCCCGAAACGAGCATCGAATGAAGTGTTGGCAGCGCTTCTTGAAGAGCGCGAGGCTGGAGACGTCGGTCTTCAGCACGGTCGACCGCGAAGTCGACGCGAAGACTGCGCTGGAGGCCGCCATCTTGAGGGCCAAGCATGCAGCGAGGCTGAACAAGATGAAGCAGGAGCCAATGGAGTTCGACCAAGTGGGAGCGGCTCTTTCGGGCCTTCAGCGCTTGTGTCGGACTCGATCCGTCGGGACATCGTGGCGATCGAGGGAGACAAGGAACGCCGGCACAACTGCCCGACAGCGCCGTAGACCACCAAGCGGCAGGTGCGCGCGGAGTCTGCGAGGTCGGGCTCGATCTCGATTCCGAGGGACATGAAAGCGTGAGACGCCTACGGACGGAAGGAGCGGAAGCGGAGCCTGGCGTACTCAGCGCTGTATCGCTCGCAGTGGGCGCTGGTTACGCCCCGCGGCGAACCGACCGTGTGCTACGTGCAGGTGCAGCCAGCGGAGGCCGGGACCGTGAAGTGCGAGCCATCGTTCAGGAGACCGACGGCCTGAGCTACAGGCACCCGGTGGACATGGTGTTTGGCTGCTGGAGGCGGGTCATCCGGTACCAGTCAGAGGCCCCGCTCGAGGCCGCCAGCACGTCCCAGGAGGATGACATCCAGAAGGTCAATGCCGCCGTGGGCGCGTTCGGCGAGCTCTACGGGGTCTGGAGCGGCCAATGCGACAAGAAATCCAGGGATGGCAAGTGCAAGAAACAATTTGCCGTCAAGCTCGAGCCAGAATCCTCGTCGGGTCACCGCTCGGAAGCTGGCGGCAGGCAGTTTGAGTGGAAGGGCAGTGGGCCGTATCCCACGGAGGATGCCAAGATCAAGAAGAACAAGGGCATGCTGGAGGCCGCGCTGGGAACTCCAGCAGCATCCTCCGAGCAGCTCCGATCAGCTCCGAGAAAATGGTGGTGCATTGCTCGAGCCGTGAGTTCGAGAAGGGGCTGGGGAGGGCGCTCGGGCCGGGGGCCCAAAGGTTCTTCAGCCTGGTGCAGCTGGCCAAGAAGGAGGCCCCGGAGGCGTTCCAGGGGGAGCCCCAGGGGAGGCCCCGCGGGGCGGCCGAGGACGGGGCGCTCAAGTTTTCGGGTGCCGAGGATGGGGGTGGCAGCCTCCGGGGAGCGGGCTCCTCGTGCAGCCGCCCCTGGATGTGGGCCCTCCGTGCTTGTGCCGGGGAGGGGCGACTCCAGGCTGCGATTGGCGCTGGCCCGGTGCCATCTGGCTCGCGGGGGGGTCTTCTCCCCCTGCTCGCGGGATGCGAGGGAGCATGCTCCATTGTCAGATCCACCTGATCCACTTCCTCCCCCTCCTCACCCTCCTCCTTCGCATCCTGCGACCGCAGCTCCGTCTCGCCCTCCTCGAGATGCATCGAGCGCTCGTATCTCTTCAGGGTGCAGAAAAACACATCAACAAGAGGAGGCTCAGTTTTCACTCGCGCCGACTTCGCTGCGCCAGCAAGGGGGTGAGCTCGAGGGGATTGGCCTCCCCAGAGGGCGGAAGGACGTCTTCGCAGGAAATGGGGCTTCTCAGAAGGCCACGGACACTTGTCAGAAGGCTTCTCTGATGCCGCGCGAGCGTCCACGAAACCCCCTGCCATGTTTAGGCAAGCGCGTTCCGCTACTCACAAAGTCACGACTCGCAAATGGCCTGGATCCCCCGTGGGGGTTTACGATAGCTTACATCGAGGCGAACGTGTTTTTTCTGATGTTTGCGAGTAGGCACTCTGCGAGTAGTGGAACGCGCTCGGCGAATGGTAGTTGGGGAACAAAAAAGTGGCATAAACATAAAAGCTCGGAGGTCCGCGCGGATTTCTCGGATCGGCGCTGGACCCCCCTCCCTGGCGCGCGGAGCGCGCCAGGGGCGGCGCCGGAGGCGCCGCCGAGGGGGCCCAGCGCGGATCCGAGAAATCCGCGCGGACCTCCGAACTGTTATGTTTATGCCATTTTCTGTTCCCCCAGAGATCCCCCCGAACGTTGCCCCTGAAACTCACCCGTGATCGATCGAAACTTCCCATCTTTTCTTGGTGTTCGTCTTCCCCCCACTTCCCATATCTTCTTATCCTTTCCTGGGAATCGCCGATCGTTTGTGTTTGTGTGTTTTTCCCCTCCTGCAGCTCACCCGTGACTCGCCATCGCTCGGACGTCCATTCCCCGCGTTTCTTTCGGTTTCGTGCGCGATTTCTTCGCTGAGCGATCAAGGATGCTCCTCGATGGTCCCCACCGAGGAAAAACAAATGCGCACGTCCGAGCGATGCTAAAACGACCGATCGAGACTTCCCCACAGCGCGGGTCCCTCGACACCAGGCCGGCCGCCACCGCGCCGGCACGGCACTTGCCAGCGCTTGCCGTGCCCGCGCGCCGAGGGGGCGGGCCTTGTAGAGGTGCACCTTCTCGTCGAGCTCGCGCAGGCGCCGGAGCACCTCGGGGGAGGGGGGGGAGGAGGAGAAGGAGGAGGAGGAGGAGAAGGAGGAGGAGGAGGAAGAGGAGGAGGAGAGGAGGAGGAGGAGGAAGGAGGAGGGTGAGGAGGCGGAGGAGGAGGGAGGAGGGATGAGGATGGGAGGAGGAGGAGAGGGAGGCATAGGAGGTAGGAGGAGGAGGAAAGGATGATGATAGGTGGGGGAAGGAGGAGGAGGAGGAGGAGGAGGGAGGAGGAAGGAGGATGGAGATATGAGGAGGAAGGATGGGAGGGGGAGGTTGGGTTGTGGAGCGACCTAAAGTCAGAGAAAACGATTAAAAGACCCCCCCATCAGAATCAGAGGGCGCCTCATCCTCATCCTCCTGGTGGGGCCTACCCGCGGCCTGCCCGAGCTCCCTGACGTCTTGCAGGTCCTCGTCGGACAGGCCGAACGCACTGAGGATCTCCTGCCTGGAGGCGAAGCCCGTCCTCGCGCGGGCAGAGGGCCTCCCTGCGGGCGCGGCAGCCGAGGGAGCACGGCGGACCGACAGCAAATCTCGCTCCGCCTGAGAGAGGCAGCGAGCCGACGAGAGGGTCAAGTGCTTCGACGAGGCTCGACCATGAGGGTGCTTCCCTTCACGAATTCTTTTCAGCTGATGCTTCACCTGTGGGGACCTCGGCCCGTGCAAGCAGCTGTCCAACAAAAGCACACCTGGGCGGAGGTCCTCACAATATGCACCGCACTTGGCGCAAAACACAGGCGGCATCCCTGACTTCTGAGGCGATTCGATCTCGCATCTCATCAGGGCATGCCCGTTCAGGTAAAAAACACCGGTGGCAACCTCTTCCCAATCGAGCCCGTCCGACCCCCCAACGTCCACCCCCTCCCCGCCCACAGACTCTTCAATCTCAGGCTCAGGCTGGGGCGGCAACTCGCGAGCGTCGGGTGCGCACTTTTCCGAAGCTTCAAGGCCGACGGTGTCCAGACGCTTTTCTGCCTGGCCTTGCAGGTGCACCTCTAAATGGGCAGCCCACTTGGCAGACTCTTTCACAAGACACTTGAGACCTCTGCGCAAGTCAACGTCCTGCTGGTAAAGTTGGTGCTTAGCAGCACCCATCTTCGCATAAGAGTCTACCGAATCATTGGCTCGCTTCTCCCACAGGGTCGTCTTGCCACTGTGGACATCCGACATCGAGCAGTGAGATGCCGTCTTAAACGCAGCGAAATCCCCTGGAGAGAAACTGGACCAGAAGGGGGCCCACAGGTGGGCCCTGGGCCCTCCAGCCGAGGCCCCCGCCCCTTGGCCGCCCCAGAGGACATCTAGAGTTCCCTGGCAGTCACAATAAATCAAACGGCGCCATCGCACACTGATTCAGCATGTAAACAGCATAGTCTTCCCCATCCTTGGCCGTTTGGCGAAGCCCATGGGGGAAGGGGACGGGTCCGTAACAAGCCGAGATGACATTGCCCAGGGGATCGGCCTGGACTAAGGCCCAACCAGCCCTCGAAAGCCCAGGGATCCCTGGCCAAGAAGCGGACCCATCCGAAAAAAATTAAACCACTGAGGCGGCCTGTCTCAGGCCTATTAAATCCAATACACCGTCTGTTCAGGCTCCTGGGCAGGGAAGGGCGCCAGCGGCGGCGGAAAGATCGCGCGCGCGAATCTCTCAGCCAACTCCTCACCTCCCTCGAGCACACGGGCCGCCCGTCTGGCTAGCTGCGGCGAGACCATGTCCCTCCTGAGCACAGCGTGGGCCGAGCAACGAAATTGTCTGTGAAAAAAGGGTCCCCGCTTCCTCCTGACACAGATACACTTGCCGCAACTGTGATACCCATGCCCGTGCACTCTAGCTTGAGGCCAGTGCACATTACTCATAAGGCTCCTGAGGGCCCTCTGATGCTGGGGCTTCCAAGAGGAGGAGGAGGAGCGAAGGAGAGGCCTCACAGCATCCCAGAAAAGAGGGTACCCTTGGAGCTCATCTCCTACCTGCATCAACGCCTGCCTGTCCGACGCTCTGACGGCCGCCGCACGGACCTGCAGCCGAAACTCTACAGGCGCGATCTGAGAGAGATTCCAGACCTGCCCGAGGTCTGATTCGACCGTTCGAAAGTCACGAAACGTCCAGCCCACACGAGCAAGACTGAGCTCTGCCACATCCGCAGGTGTCGCAGCTCCCATGCCATGGGTGCCTTTTCGAATTGGCTCGAGCTATGGCCGCGTCGGCCGTCGCATTCAAAATCGAAACCTTGGGAAAGCTATCCCAGACCGCATTGGCCCATTGAAAGGCCACATGGCCAACATAGGCCACAAACGGGTCAACGATTTCTCCCGGACGAAAAGAGCGCAGCCTAATTCCCAGGGAAGCCCCTTTGGGATGACGCCCTAGAGCGTGAGCCGCCGAAAGCCTTAGGCCGTGCATGGCCGTCGGCGAAATTCCCAAGACACTACTGCCCCAGAGGGCCGATGCCGTGGCCCCCATTCTCTGTACAAGAGCCACATCAGCCCCAGCCCCCCTCAGCAGTCGAAGTCGCTTCGAGCGCGAACCTGCATCGATGAACCTCGCTCGCTGCGCTCCAACACGTCGTCGTGAGCCCGTCGTCGCATCCGCGCCGAGGTTGCGCGCATGCTCGACCCGAGACGTACCAGGCAAGCACCAGGAGCCCACAACATGGGCCTGCACCTCACGAGTGCACAAGTACTTCGTTTTCTTGATGTTCACAGGCAGGTGGAGCTCCTCAAAGCACGCGAAGAGCTGAGTGACGGCACTCGATAGCACCTGAGCTACCTGAACTGGCCGACCACACGCCTGTAGCGCAACGTCGTCTACAACGTTGCGGATGACTAGATTCGGCCTACCTTGCTGCGTGAGAAGAAGCGGACGGAGCAACACTAACTTAGCCAGTGTCGTCGCTCCTGAGCATCCAGCCACCACAGCTGCATTCGCCAAGTAGGCCGACGATACGGCACCACCATACATCAGAGCTTTATATCCAGCATAGATCGTACAGCACCCTCTGAGGACCTTGATGGGGAACCCATACTGGAGCCCCGCAGCCCTGAGGTCAAGGTGCCTAATGTGCTCATAGAAGCGGCTCAGGTCGACCAAGACAGACCCACTCTGAAACCCGACTTCCTTGCAGAAACCTCCCAAGAGATTGTGGACCCAGCCAGCTCTCTCACAGGTATTGCGTGGCCCCGTGCCCCAATGGAAGGCCTCTGCATGCTTCTTCTCCCATGCCTGACAGTATGGCTGGTGGAGTCGCGACCGCAAGCGCAGCACCAGGCAGAGGAGGCCGATGGGGCGCGCGCCGCCGTCGGGCTTGTCTAAGAAGACCACGTTGGTCAAGAAGGCGAGAAGATCCTGTGGTCTGTCCTCAAACCTGCGCAGAATATCTAAAAGCCTTAGCTGGCGTTCCTCCGTGAGGTTCAGAACCCATCTTGTGTGAAAACCATCCCACCCCAAGCCTGCACCAGGAGCATACTTACGACAAACTTTCAGGAGCCGATCCAGGGCAACAGGTTCCAATTGGGCTCCATCAACAGGGACAGGCCATTGGGATGGGTGCTCATCCTGCCTATCAGCTACACACCACAGCGGCACCCATTGATCTAGAAGAGCCGAAAGTGCTCCAGCACCTACTTGAGGGACGCCCTCAGCATCGAGAAGAGAAGTGACATCGGATGCCTTCTGCTTAGCGAACTTATGAGCTGCCTTCCCTCCTCCTTTAACACTCTCAACCGCCCAGGTCCTCCACTCCTTCAGTGATACCTTTGAGTCCTCCCGTCTCCTTCTGTCCACCTCCTCGTCCATCTTATGCAGGGCATCGTGGACAGGCTCATCGCCCGTGGTGATGACATCAGCGAAGGTGCACAAACAACTGGGCGAGAGCTCGGCGTCAGCAGTGAACGGGCCCATGTCGGCGACCATGGCCTTCAGGTCCCTGGGCCGCTGATCGAGGAGCATTCGGCCCTGACGGCCTGCTTTGCCTACACGAGTCTGACAGGTGCGCCTGCACAGTGCCACATAAGAGATCCAAGCCGTCGTCGATCGAGAAAACCTGCGCCTTTGGTCCTTTTCCCAGACCGACGCCAAGGAGACAACTTTTGATTTCGGTCCTGCAGCCCTGCCCACGAAAGCCCTGGAGTACTGAGGGTCTACCCCGTGTATCTGGATCAGGCGCCTCTCCGAGAACTCAAACCACTCCTTCACCATGAGGTTGAGATCAGCTGAGGCACCCACTTCCCAAGACCAATTGTACACCACTGGGGCCTGCATGGGGCCTATGAGCTCCATTGGGAAGGCTCTGAAGCGCACTTGCTGGTTGATCGTCGACATATGGCTCAGATCCTTTAGCTTTAATACGACAGGCACGTGCGGGTAGAGCGGGGCCTGGTCCATGACCGAGATCTCCTCCACACGCGAGGCCAACGCCTCCGCAACCACAAAGAAATCGAGGATCCTACTGTCATCTGCAGCTTGGTCTGACCCAGCTGCTCCACCCAAGATGACCCAGTCGTCCGAGGTGCCCTGCGGGTCCTTCTGAGGTACCTGTTGGGCCTCCGGAGGGTTGGCGGTCCTGCAGGTAGGGGTTGCAGGAGCCACCAACACCCCTCGAACCTTCTGTATCCACCCAGAGCCCAGAAGCGCCTCAGGCTCGAAATTGAGGTCCCCTTGGAGCACCCAGGGCCTCTCTTGGGCCATAATGTAGGCCCCGACCGTCTGCAAGAGGTCCAGATTGGGTCCTGAGAGCTCCTTGCCCGTCACAAAGTACACGCTGATGACGACGAGGCCCTTTGGGAACCCCACATTGACGATCCTGGCCACCACTCTGCTAGAACAGTCCTGAAACATCGTGGTCGCTGTTGGCGTCGAGCCTAACAATGTGCAAACTCCGACTGCCACACCAGAGCTGCTCTGCTGCTGCGATGGCCCCGTACTATGAGCCATCCCAAAAGAAAAATGATACCCATGCCTGCGCCCCCAGCTCATCGCGGAGACCTGCTTGGTGTCGCTCTTGATGCG